TATTATTTATTTTAACGTATATTATTTTAAAAACTAAATGATAGTTAAGGTAGTAATTGATATGGTAATACTTTACTGTTATCATTTTTGGATTTTACTCCGTATGGAGTACAAAGGTAGCTAAATAAAATTTAATTGTTTGCACTATTAAGTTTGTTGTAATGATACAACTTTGTAAATTATAATTAATTAGCTTGCTCATATGATTAAATAAACTATTTTACAACCATACGAGCTATTGCTCTATACTTATGATATTTTCTTAGATAAATAGTGTTGTAGTGCTACAGTTTTATCTACAAATCAATAATAACAGAACAATAATAATTGTCTAACGGTCGTAATTTTGTAACAATTAATAATGATTTAAGTCACTTTTTATTATATTTATATGCATATACCATACTGTATAAACATTGAAGTATTATTTAGTATTTTAAAAAGCTTCAACTTATTAAAACCAAAAATTAATTTTATTTTTATTTTCTATTATAAAAAATATGTTTTTATATATGTATATGTCATTTTTGTCTAAAGTAACAATTTAGAGAAACATAATTTGTGAATACATTGTTCTACATTGGTAAAAATTACTCCAATATCAAAAGTCGTTCCTTTGATTTCATTAAATCGAGTAATAAATGTCTCAACATTAATAATTTTTCCATGTATTGTATAATCCATTTAAGTACGTACCTACTTGAGTTCATATTTTTTGTATTTTTATTCACCTTCGGTCATACACCTATTTATTGAAGGGCTAGTATTCATTTTAGATAATGACATTTTTTTAAAACTATTGAGAAATTTATAAAAGTAGTACATTTTTAAATGAATAATGATTGCATATGCAATTTTTTAATGGTAATAATGATGTACTCCAGATTTAAAAAAATCTATTCATTCAGTTTTGATAAGTCTTATATATTATGTACATCAAAAGAAAAACTGTTTCATAATGAATATATAACGACTGAAGCATAAGGTAAAATATATTGAATTAATATATTGCTGTACTTTTACGAAAAGAAATAAATAAAATTGAACGCTTTAAAGTGATTTTTTTTTTAAGTTTAATTTCAGGAGCATTTTATTATTCGAAATATTTAATGTTATTGGTGAGTTTACTAAATTTTTCAAATTTCTAAGTATTACGAATAATTAATACTAATTATTTAACTAAAAAAATAAATATGTTGCATAATATTAAATATTACCATGTTAATGTATTAATAACTTAATATTTTATTTGAAAGTATTAAATAACTATTTAACGAACCATCGCAACAATTTGTTGGAAAATGTAGTAAAAAAATATTCCATTTGTTTTTATTTTGATGACACCGTTGTTTTGAATGATAGAACACATGGACAAACGACGATTACTAATGTATTGTTATAGATATGAATAATTCATCAACAGTGACTATCAGCTACAGTAAACATAGTCGATTCTAGAACCAGTCAAATGAAAATCATTGAGCCAATTTTTTATGTTTATGGAGAAAATGTGTGCAGGAGTATAGATATTTAATGATACTATGAGGAGTTGTTTATGTTTGTTTAAAAGAGGGCGGAAAAGCGATATCAGTGCATCACATCACCGATACTAATACTTCCATGAATTGAGATCATAAACGAATTTTAGATTGAACATCACATCAGAATTGACAATCTATGACTTTTGCTGGTTGATCTATGAGGTAAAGCACACTGAATATTGATAATATCCGCAGTAGCTGATAGTAAAAGGCTTGTAAATTTTTTCCGAGCTCACGAAATATTACGAAAGTCAACCCTTGTCGAATTTCATGAGTCTGCCTAAAGAAGTAGGAAACTACCATGTTGTGTTCCTTCAGAAAATTGGAAAACATTCACATTGTTAAAAACTTCTAAACCACATAATACGACTTGAATTAAATAATTTATTGTGCGTTCAGATAATGGTGAAATGGAAGATACAGCTGAATATGATAATCATGTATAAAATGTGTACATTTAATTTTTATATTTAATATAGTATTGTGAATAATTAGGTTTTTGTGCGAACAGCTTTTTATGAAAAAATATTTTAACATTTTGTCCTGTTGAAATTTATAAAAAAATGTGGAATTTCTAACTGTTAAAATTTAAAAGACCCAATGAAAATCACATAAAATATTAAGTTTTAGATTTTAAAATTATTACACATATTGTCCAAATATGACTAAACCAATAGACATATATTATTATAATCACTATTTTAAACACCAAGAATATGTATCAGAAATTGTGTTCAATAAATATTAGTATTTACTAAGTTTAAATCTTTATAATTATAATACATAATTCCTTAAAATATAACGTGGGAATCTCGTAAAATTAATTTTGTTCTAAAGAGTCGCAACCATTATAATATCCTCTTTTTCAACCTTTACTCCGATCGAGTAGAAGTCGCTATAAAATCCTTACATCGTATCAAAATACGTTGTAAAGCATAGACTTTCCTGTATATTAAAAATATCGAGATTATCGGGCCGTGAAGTCGAGGATTACAAAATATACACGGTAAATATCCATATCGTCATATCATTGATCCAAGCCCTTCAGTCCGTAATATGTTTTCGACAAATCATCTTTCATGATATATATATATATATATGTTACGGTCCAGGTGGATAAATAGTCATTGTAAATACTATATATATAACAATTAATAATGATCCTCTTGAAATCTTAAAATCCCAAACGTTTTACGAGTTAGAAAAATATCAATTTACTTTACCAAAGGACTACATTACATTACATATGTCACCAAAATCCACTAATCAAAACTATTTCTTCTTGTACCATCACCAAAATCCTAACGTTGACTAAACATTTGTTGGCCTAGGGACCTCTACTCAAGTCTGCCAGATCAGTTTGCAGAATTGTACTTCTGGTTACCCGCTTAAATGTAAATTCAGCCGTACTCGTGTTCGTACACAGATTTTCATCGTACTTTGATAAAAAAAAAAAATTAAAAAAATATGACCAAGCATTGCACACGTTTACACGAGACACATGAGATGATTGGGGCCCAGAGCTGATTTGCAAGTTTAACCTGCTAGTTATATTTTATTATATTATCTACGGACGCACTCAGTAAAGCGAAACAATTTCGTGTTTCTACGCCAGTACAGTGCGCTTCGTTAAACACCCGTCGATTATTAAAGGCCACGCTGTTGACTACTACAACGCTAGTTGTTAACAGCCGTCAGTCAAAATCGACCAGAGCCGACGACACGATATACGACACCTTTATATATTTTGTACAGTACACGCAGCTGTTTCGATATTTTCCGTTCGAGTTTTCGCTGCTAAAAATAAAAACACTGATATCGATCACCTGTCCACATCAATAATACGATATTATTTTCTTGATGTAAAATCATTGCGCTGCAAAGAATAGTGGACCACAGTCTATAAAAACAATAATATTATTATAATAAATATTTACGTACATTAATGATAATGTCGTTGTAGACAAGATTCGAGAACAGTGAATAATCGCACCGAGTTTAGTGTGTAAGCAATACGAGTATAAGTAATAAGAACTACTATTATTTTAGTTCAATACATGAGTATTCTATGTATTTATGTTGGAACACTGTTTGGGATCATTTAATTTTAAAATAGAATTACGAAACAGCACTGCTGAACAAGGTACCTATAGGGCATATTAAATTAATTTTTTTTTAAAAATAATTTGTTTTGAGGTTCTTTGATTAATGAAGATCCTCTCAACCCACCTATGAGTGTGTGTGTGTGTGTGTGTGTGTGTGTGTGTGTGTGTGTGTGTGTATGTGTGTTTATGTGTATGATACGGTAGGGTTTTGTGATTTTAGTTTAATTACATTTAACAAACACCTTTTTAAAATATCATCTGTGTCCAATTTAAAAAGTTTGTTGCATGAAACGGTTGTTTCAGATTTTTTTTTACCTCGAGAAAGTTATCGAGAGGGGGCAAAATAATTGGTGCACTTATATATTATGATATGTGAAAATAATTTTCATGAATCTAGGTGCATTGTAAAATACGAATAACCGCTACACGAACCAGCGGTGCCAAATATGTTCTTAGAGCGGTGCAGCAACTGTAGCACTCAGGGTGGGCGGTTAAATTAACGGGTTCGGCTCATACGTAATGCTTCTTTACTTCTTCTATGGCTTAAAAAAAAGGTCCGTTTATCCAATACACTCTTCCGTCTCTCCTTGTCCAGCAATGCTTCCGCATCCGGTAACGGATCGATTTTCTTCAAATCTCTTTCGACTGTACACCGTGACATCCTTGCCAGGGCCTACCTCTTGGTCAATTCCCCTATGGGTCGTCATGTGTGAAATTAAAATGTTGAACAATTTCATTTGCTCATAGTTTCAGTGTATTAAAAACGTACCGACATAAGTGTTACCTGAATGGACCGAAAGAGCTGGTCGAAAACGTGTTCGCACCTGTATAATAAAAACGAATCGAACGCGACTGGCACAGCCCACGTCCACGTCCGTCGGGTTCGTTTTTTTTTTTTTTGTTTTTACTCGACCCGTAAGCCTGTTAGGCTTACTAGAGTCACGCGGTAATTTTTCACGACACGTTTCCTCTCTCCGACGGCAACGCCTCCGTCGAGGCCGGAACTCGCGAGTCCGTGTCACGGAGGACATCCCTCGTCATCCACGTGCCCTACCCCACGACGCCCGTGTGTCTCGTCGTCCCGTTCGCGTTCCGTTTGATAACCGCTCGATTCCGTGCGCACGTACCCGCGCGACGTGTACTCGAATCGGCTGTTCGTTTTCGCGCGAGCGTTCGCCGTCCCTACCGCGCGCGCTCCGGGAACGCCGCGGTGGGTGACGACGCCACCGAACGTCGCGACGGCGATGGCCGAGGTTGGGCCGGGGGTGGTTTAGGCGCCAGTAGATTGTATATTATAGATTTGCGTGTCGAAGCCAACAAAAATCGCCGGACGGTTTAAACGCGCACGCCAGTCCCCCGGCACTGCTTATTCGTCGTCCCCCGAGACACGCGGTCTGTTCGTCGCATTTCGTCGTTCGGTTTTGATTTTCGACTATTTCTCGTCCCGGCGTTTTCCTCTTCGAGTTTTTCTTTTTCCCACCGTTTTCCTTCTCCTTCGATTTCTCCCTTCCCCGTACAGCCGAAAAACCGTGTTTACCGACCATCAAACGCCATCGTAACATCCCTCTCCTCGACCCCGACGGCGTTCTTGTGCACGGTGTCGTATATCTCATTACGTATTACCTACGTTACATCATTGTTGCTATGTCAATATCGATGCGCGCCGCTGACCGCCGACGACGATAAAAAATGGAACGCGCGACTCGAGCGTGAGGGAGAGATACGTGTGCACCGAAGTGTTAGCTTTCGCATCCGTAAGTAATCGATTGAATTTACGTAACCGATATACGTGTAATATTATTGTGGTTGTCGCGTACCTACTGTATACGCTCGTATATATTTATATTATACACTATTATTATTACTACTTTTTTTTTTTTCACTACAATCATATTATAATATATTATTGATCGCGCAGTTTGCATTCAGTCGACCTCAGGCGCCGATACGCGCCGTCGTGTGTCCATGCTTATATTTCACTCTGATAACGTTGTGATATTATCAGATAACAAAACCTATGCGATACGGTACTGATAAGATTACCGACGAATATCGCCGCCGTACTATGTTCCTTTGCGTAGCGAGATTATATCCGACCCGTTATTTTTCAACAATCGTAATACAACGTTTAGGTTAACATATAATTTCGTTGAGATGACGAAAGTTTCAATCAGGCTCAAAGCTGATGTAATATTGTATTCTGTTACGAGTATAATATTTATGTGGTATATTCACGAGTTTATGTATTTTGCGCAGACAACCGTTTCGTTATTTATATTTTATAAACGTTCCTGTAAATTACATTATATCGGTGTACCAGCGTTTAGTATAATTTATGATTTTGGTCACTGGAGAAAATTACGTTGTAGAAAACATAAACGTTAATTATCATAATGTTAACGATAACGGCACACAACGATAACACGGACCCATCATTTTTGTCGCACGAGAGCCTTACTCGGGTTACGGGCCGTACTTTCTTTTAAAACATCTTCTTGAAATATTTAAACTATTAATTTCCAAAACGACTCTAGAGAATAATTAAGACATATACACTTTGAATAATTCAATATTTCTCCTGAAGGTTAAACTAATTTTAATCGAATGCACAATGTAGTGTGAATGAACATTGAAACTTTTGAATCTTAGATTTAATAAGTAAAATAATATAATACAATTTGTGGTATGTATTATAGAGATGGCACGTTTTATTTCCTGTTGAAGTCATCCATTGACATGTAAATAAAATGTATTAACAATAATTATATAATTTAAAGCGATGAATAGTCTGAATTACCTATGCGTTGAACACTCGTCTCGCTTAAATTCCCTACTATCGTCATAAGTCAGTTTTATTTTATCATTCAGTATTTTAACGTAATGATTGAATATAGCTATTCGAAAATGATTTCGATATAAGATGGCTATACTGCACTGTTACTGACGTTTTTTAAATTGCGATTACTCATTAAAAATATTATAAGTCTAGTGAATGTTTTCGAAAAGTATTGAATAGCGATTGCATGTTTCACGATAAACTAATGAACTTACATTTTCAAAATGTATGTATTGTTTAAGTATATACGTATTATAAAAAAAGTAAAAGAATAAAAACCATAAGGCATATATTATATTATATATCATTATATTATTTTATTTAATTGTTGCTAAAAATGTAATGATGTTTTACTCCAGTTTCTGTAAAATGGTTTAATTTTTTTTGAACTGAGTTACATTTAAATACAAGCTTTTTGTATGATTGTAAATAATAGAGTAAATGAACTATTAGAAATTTTTTAGGGAAAAATATACATTCTTACAGGAAATTTAGAATTTTTTTAATATTTTGATAGTTAAACGATAAAGTGATTCTTCGTGAACGAATATGTTATATATACATAATTGCTCATATATAAAATAATATATTATTTTTACATAATATTATTATGTACAAATAATTGATTTATTAGAATAGTTAAAGATCATTTGAAAATATTTTATCATACAACATCTAAAAGTATTTATTATTTTTAAATACTACCAAATTTATACTATTTCAATAGGATAATACTTCATTACTATCCAAAATTAAACATTACACTCGTCAATAGTTTGTATACAATAATGGTTATTGTTTCTTGTGTTTGATAATTGAAATTACAGTAAAATGAATAAAGCAAATAGTCCCTGAACTTTGAATGCAATTTTTATTACACGAGAAAACTATATTACTTAGTAGGTTAGTCTATACTTGACCTTGACTGAAATAAAAACGTTAGAACATTATTCTAATCGCATTTATTATTATGTAGGCTATATCAGTTAATTTTGTATGGAATTATTCAATGGTACAATTTAATATGGTTTTTAGATTAATTTACGTGTGTGTGAAATATACAACAAGAATAAAGTTATAAAACTGTGTACAAGAAACCGTTGCATTATTTTCAAACCACATACAATAATACTAACAATAACTAACACTGGTAATTCAGTGTACTTATACTGTGTTTATTCAAACCTCAATTTTTAAATTTTCAATTTTATTTATAAACATGTGATGAAATAGTATTTGCATTATGTTCATATGATAAAATAACACATTGGATAAATTTAATCTTTTAACGATTTTGTATATATTTCACTGCGGATTATCGGTTGAATCTGCTAAACTCCCAGAATTAATCAATTTATTCATAACATTTTACGGTTTGTATTTTTCAGAAAATTACTTTGCGTTCAACTTAATAAACATTTTTAATAAAGATTTGCACGGATTAAAATTACACAAAATAATAGAAATTACTCATAAGTATAGACAGAACTATATAAATAAAAAAAAAAAAAACTCATTATTATTAAATATGTATTTTGCTTGATTATTATTTATAATGCATATTGAAAGCGTTTATTTTAGAAATAAAACTTTTTAAATATATTTCAATTCAATTTATTTATTGGATTTTCAAAACGAATTAACTAAACATCATATACATAGCCGTGTATTATAAGCTTGTGTAAGATTTATTTATTAGAACTATATGATTATATGATCACATTATATTATACTGCACTACTGTTGCATTACAATATATACTGCGAGTACAAAAATAATGTAAATATGTGATTGTAACGAATAAAATAGTATTGCATTGTTGTTTAATTTCTTTGTTCACGGAAAATTGCATGTGACTATTAAACTGATTGACGCGAATAGGAATTTTTCAGAGTGATTGTATACACATTTCATTCTTTCTAAATTACAAGACTCTTCCCTTAAGTTTTTCTCGATTTATCATTGTGACGTACGTGTACTATATGATAAATCATGCACGAACGCTTTTTCCCTCCACTCCGCAACATTAATAATTTCGGCATTCAGTATACCTAACCTTTTATACACTTCAACGGGTTTCTATTTCGTCTATTGAAATTTAGTTAGATATTATAAATTGCAAAATTAATGGAACGTTTTATTAACGGTTTTCGTTGTATTTAGCCCAAAGTACTATATGCACCATGTACGGAATATACATTGACTTCAGTGCAGGCAAATTAATTATAAGAAACTTCTAGGTAGTGTATAAAAAAAACGTATGTAAAATAATCTAAAGATGAAACGCATAGCGTATGTGAATCCGTTTTCAAATGAAACTATGGTGAAATCGATTAATAATTTAACTCAATTAAACCGTAATTAAATGATTGACGTCACGGGCTTAGCTTTTCTCGTTATATTATTGATCGCCGCTTTTTATGTAATATGTTTAGGTAGGAATATTATATATCCGCATAGAATACAAATTAGTCGTTTCGAATACTAAATAGTTTTACTACCTATCTAGGTCGACCTTGAATTAATTACTTATTCGCCCGGACTAGAAGATTTCAACTTAAATTTAGGTTGTCTCTTGTCGAGACAACCAAATAAAAAAAATAAATAAATAAAAAAAAATAGTCTTCTCAGTGTATGTGGTGTACTATACTAACACGATGGATTAAAAAACTATATTAGAATTAATCGTTAAAGGATATTTTTTTTTATTATATGTGACGGTGGATCGTTATGAAATGTCACATTTAGATTTTATACAGCATTTTATTTTCAATTGTGGCCCAGAGACACGATAGCCTGAATCTAAAGAGACGCTAAAAATGTATTAATATCAATTCAAATATAATAGACCACAACATTGATTAAGCTAGTCGTCAAGGATGTCGAGTTCATGTGACTAGGATGCATAAAAAAAATATGATTTTTAAAATAGCTACTGAAAAGTTAATATTGTATACATTTTCAGTTGTAGAACAATAATAAATAATGTTATCCAGTTAATTTCTGTTAAAAAAATACGTACACTCAAATAAATTACAATTTAGTCATATGATGCTCATGAGATAATACATTATGGAACACAGGTATTTCCTTATTTTTAATGGGAAAGCTTTACATGATTTTAAGCATCAACGATTTTTACTGCGTTGAAAAATATTTACAAATTTTTTGATAACATTTAATTTTTATTGGCTCAAGTTTCTATTATTTTCTAAATAATATATAAATTAATTTTAAAATAATAACAAGAAAAATGTTTAAATATTTTAATTAGTCGTATATAATGTAATTTGTGTATATTAATTACATAAGCATATTAATTTTTGAAGATACTTGTAGGTACGAAATACTTAATAATAGTTTTTACTAAAAATCGGTGATAATGTGGCTGCAATATTTATTTTTAATTATTATTTTTAGTTTTTTTGTGTATTATTTTATAAAATCAATGAGACACTTATATTTTTTATTTAATTTACTATTATTTGCTTTTAAAGTTTCTTCTCTCTTTTTTTTTTTTTTTTTTTTTTAATGAGCTACTTAAACATTTAAATAAAAGATCCTACAAGGCGACTATAATACTTTGGGGATTATATTTTGGAAATCAATATTTTAAAGTGATTTTAGTCTTTATCACATTTAATGTTATCATAAAAATGTACGAATAATACTGCAGTGCAAATAATTTATTTTCAGAGAACATTGATATAAAACTTTGAACTTTCGATTTTGATTCATGAACAGCTGTAAAATTTCTCTTTATCTTAATTTATTTGTAATGTTACGATTTTCAAACTTTCAACTCGCATCGCATATGCTGTACATTTTGCACCGCGCTTACTAACGCATAATAGTATACCCTGCTCGAAAACTTAATTAAAATAAATACTGTTCTGCAGTAATTCAAATAATGTTGTG